GGGCGGGCGGGCGGGCAGGCGGGCGGGCGGGCGTGAGTGAGTGAGTGAGTGAAGTATACATACATATGTGGTTTTGTATATATACATATATATAACTACAGTTATGTAATACTGTACAATGTGTATGTAGATCTGCACAACAACTATGCTAATTTAAAATCTTTAGACGTCGAAGCTACACACGTGAGACAATCGCTAAGCTATCTTTCGATACGAAATCGTTGTTTAATCTAAAACGAGAAAAGAAAAACTCATCGAGAGTATTCTTTAATATCAGACATTTGCGATTAGGACTTGCACGAAATATGGGTACTCTGCGATGTTTAAAACCTTGCGCCGCACTGGCTAACTTTCTCCGCAGCATTAAAAATCATCTTCCCAACCTACTATAGGCTGTCATCAGCAGAATCCCGGAGAAAGCTTGGCATACACCTCCAACCCCCTGTGGGCAAGCGGCTCCAGGCGGGAAGTCAACGACTGGGGACTAGCAATAGAACCCAACCCCTCCCCCGCCCAGAAACGAAGCACAAACAAAAAAACACCAAAAACAAAACCAAATTCAGGAGACCAGTCTCCCAGGTTCTGTTGAATTGGCTTTTTTGTGCAGTGCGTTGTTGATTTAGAAATCCTGTGCTATGAACAAGCCACTTTTCAAACACAGATTATGTGTACAGTGTAAACCGTGCTTAGACACGAACGACAACAGGAATCCTAAAACCATCTGTAACATGTGACAGGAACTTGAGGGCCAACAGGGTTCCCCTCTCTGTTGGGGAAAGCATGGGAGCTTTAAACGGTTCAAGCTGGACCGACTACCGCCTACCAACCTCGTCGTGAGACCTGCTCTCCCAACTGGACCAGTCCCCAGTCCGCACAAAAGTCATCTTCAGTCTCAGGGATGCTGGCAATCGTGGTATCCTCTGCTCATGCTTGTCAAGGCCGGTTTCGCTGACTGCTTCCGTATTGCTCTTTTTCGTTACACACCTCCAATTTCGACAGATCTCCACGACACAATGTTGCGATCCGAGTCCGAGCCGCATAAACGACTGACTGTGTTTACTCTGTCAACCGAAAGTGGAACGCACGACGGCACACCCAGGAGCCTGGAAGACTGGCAGGTAGCAAAGCGACCAATGCTTGAGAACCCATGCTCGCCTGGAAGAACAGCCTGCGTGGACCGCTCTGCCTGCAACCAGGCTCTTTACGAGTACTGTTGACTATAGTATGGCGAACAGACCGAACAGCTGTCCATGCAATGCCAGCAGGAAAATGTTTAACCGCAAAGCTTGCGTGAGCAATGCAAAAAGCCCTCGTGACGTTTTCCAGCGCAGGTGACAGAGAAACGCCATGAGTTAGCGACCGGCAGAAGCATACATCGCGAGACCACGGTCCCACTCACGTTCTCCAAGCCCGCTTGGGGTCCTTCCCATTGCAGAGTTCATGCTACACACCTTCGCTTCGAAATCCGTCGCTGCGTTCCGCGTCCTGACTGTCACCACCCCTCTGCCGTTCGTTTCGCGGCAGGCCTGCGCGACCATGCCGCAGTGATCGCCCCTGGCAGCTCTCAGGTCATGTTTGAGAGCCAGAGGACATGCAAAGCACAAGCTCGAAGCTGTGGTGAGGCACCAAAGGCAATCATCGAAGAAAAGCCTTGGTGTGTTGCAGCAAAGCCCGCAAGATGCAAGCAGTTGTATCATAACATGCCAGCACAATCAGCCAGGCTGCATTCTGTCGTACGACACACCGGTGGCCTCCTGCTGCCGTTCCGACATGTTCTATCTTGCGACACGTGCAGTCTCTGCGAGCAGCCAGACCCAGCAGTATCCGTTCAGAGTCTAGAGTATATGCTGCGCCTAAATCCGAAATAGCCGAACAAGACATTGACCACATGGCAGTAGGAAGCTCTCCTACACCAATACGAATGCAGGGTTCCAGCAGCTCGGCACTGATTCCGCAAACCACCGCCGAGAATTGGGCTGGGCTGGACTGGGCTGAACTCTGCCGGGCTGGGTGGGGTCCCAGAACGGCTGGGAATGCTGCGATTCGCGCATGTTACTCTTGCTTGAATCTGCTACTTGTGCTAAAGTTGCTAGTACTTGCCTCAAAAATCATAAGATCTTTTTGAGAACTTGGCGCTGAAATTGGGGTTGGGCTGTCTGGGTCGGGTGCTTTCAGGCAGGAAGCATCATCCTCTAAGACTCGAGGCTGCGAGCACCACATGGCTTTTCTTCCGCGTTCTGACATGCTGCTGCTTCAGGACTTTCAACACGTTGGGTTTCACTACCATTCACAAGCTTCACTCACTGCGCAGGTCAGGAGACATATTATGCACACCCGTGCACAGTCTTTCAGGTTTTGACCTCACACTGGTCTTGCATGGCATGTGACCCCCTCAGCCCTCGGCCTTCAATCGTGGAAAGTGTGTCCTCGCCTTGTTCGAGGACAGGGGAGGCTGGCGGCCTCGGACTCCAGACTGGCTGACTGGCTCCAGCGCTCCCTGCAAAGAACAAACGGCACTGACACTGTCGGGGTGCCGATCTGGTTGACGTCCTTCCCCTCCCAATCTCGCAAGAGGAGCTGCCAGACTGTCACGCCAGGCAACACCTCGGGGAAGACACTCCCACGCCACGAACGACCACAAGGCAGTGCCAGTGCCTCCAGAAGCGAAAGTGCCTGAACCAACACTTGTTCCGAGCAGGCTTCTGTCTAGTACTGCAAGCTCCACAACACTAACGGGGGCCTTGCGACCAACCTTCTCAGCAAAGGGGGTGTCTGCGCTGCTGGCCACAGCTATCTTCATGCCTGGATATTTACCTTCGAGGCTGCTTCATCTCACACACCAAGGATTTGCACCCGGTTGTCAGTTGGCTTGAACGCTCAGATGTTAGGGCAAGCCACCATCCGCATGGTCTTGCAAAGCTTTCATTGCTCCTTTTCGGGATCGCAGCGAAGCACAACACAAAGTACAAATGAACGTGCGAGATGCCACTCTCGGGGACTTTGGTGGACAGGCATGCGGTGTCCTTTGTGCAACGAAATTTTATCTGCACCGCTCATGACCTGAGAGGACATCTAGCTTTGGTTCAGGGATACACGTCGCAGATGCAGTGGCTACAACGACCATCTACACTGACTTCGCCCAAAGGCCCCCAGCGCCAGTCACACCTTCACCACGTCCACGCAGGTCGCCAAGGACAACATCACTGTCCTTTGGTATCGCCTCCATCTCGTACATCTCCTGTGAGGGGCGGTGCGGGATTTCTTGCTGCCTGCAGCTTCCCGTGTGTCCACAGACACTCGAGTGTTGTCACACCTTTGTTGATCACATTCCGACCTTACCAGTACCGCGTCTACTCTTTGGTCCCTTGTGTAATGCTTGTCCGGAAAGGCATCTCACCCAAAAATAGCATGTCTGCCTGAGTCTCTGTTGACGTGAAGGTCGGTAAAAGCGACTATATTTCAGTGGCAAACTCTTTGTTACACATGATCGGATTGCCTGTGATTGCATACAAGCACCGTGTCCATTCCGATTTGACTCGGAGTGGTGGGTCTCCCTCTCTCAATCGCTTGACAATTGAACGACGGAGGACTAAACACGACCCGCGACCCGTTGCAAGCGGCAGGCAGGCTTCAGGAGAAACGCTTGTGAAGCCTGGAATTACACGTTGCAAGTGGCAATGTCCTTGTCCCATAAACAGGCATCCAGGTCAAAGACGCATAGTTCTGGATATGGGCCTTGACCAGCTCGCCTTTGTCAGGGGCCGCACGGAATGCAACAAGGAAGACATCTACGGCGCGTCGGCTCCTGAAGACCGGCCGAATCGCTGGTTGCCATCGTAAGCCCGTGAAGGCCAAACCTCAAACACTGCATGAACACACGATTCCCAACAACTGCACACCGTGACCAAAGGACCACACGGTGGCAGAGCAGGCCTAGGGGTACGAAAGCCAGCCAATGGCGTCTCACCATGGCATGTGTTGAATTCCGACCGAAGGGTCGGAGGGAGAAGCCGTGATAATTTGCTTCGAGATCCGAAGAGCTTGCGTGCACTTGCATACATCTGACAATACGGTTTGAGCAAGAACTCTGCAAGAAGAGGGCGGGGCAGAGAGTTTTCGACGTCACCCTGTCACCTCTTGGAGCCGGGTCTGGCCTTGGCGGGTACCTGCAAGAAGTCCAGACTTCTGCCAGACCTCAGCATGCCCCCCGTGCTTGAAGCGCTTTCGAAAGGTACGCCACGCAACCCGAGCTCCGAAGTCAAGCCATACGCATGGACGAAACAACCATCGTGTCTCAGTATGTTGTGCAAACTGATAATTGGAACTCTTCATCTATACACTGACACGTTGAATCTCCATGTCTGTTGAAACGCTTTGTGCTCGCGATCGCTTGCGTTTGTTCGAGCTGCAGCGATAGTCATGTTTGGGACTGCTGTGTTGCTACGCCGTCAAGAATTGACCCTCTACTTTGAGTCATTGAGTGTCGGACCCCATCAGCAAAGCCACCTCAGAATTTCAGAAACAAAGGGACAAAGGGAATTGTTCCAACGTCTCACATCCAGTTCGGTCTAAGGCAGTGGCCGCAGCGCAGAAGCCGCAAAGTCTCATTGGGCCAAGCACCCTCTGCCGTGCAGGCCTTGCAGGCCTTGTGGCCTGCACGAGACTGCGCAGTAAGGAGCACTGTACATCCGGACAGGGTGAGATGCCACGACGCCCCACCAGGCAGTCTTAAACCTGGCCTTCACCGCGGCCATTGCGCTGAGCTCTGGCTATGAGATCTTTTGCGATGCTTGTTTGGAGCCGAGCGACACACATACATGTGTAGGTTGAAACACAACACGATGCTCCCAGCTGTCACCTGAACCCATTCGAAGCACAAGTGTTGCACTGCCGGGCCAGGGGCACTTGACATATGAGCGCATGTTCATAGCTCAATGCCTGGGCATCGCTCCGCAGCCGAGACATCTTGCATGCTTGGGAAATCTGCCCTTTGCATCATGAACGAATAACCTGCACAAGTGCAGCAGCCAAGCCAGTCCCAGGTTCTTCAGATTGCCACCGTCGCAAGCAACTTTCGTGCACGAAACCTGAGACTGTAACGGCTGCGAAGGATTCTGGCATGCCGAATGCCCGAAGCTGATGTATCAAGCAGCGTGCAACCTGTCTAGCTCGCTGCAACGATGCGTCTACCATCTGTTGCCACACATACGACATTTTGTGGAACGATCCAATACTAAGAAGAGGGCGACTTGTGCCTTCGCATTTGCATGGAATTATGAAATCCTGAAACGGAGCATGTGGTGATGGAGCTGACGTGGCAAATACTAAACTCAACGTGGTGGATGTGATGACCAGGCCTCAGCCGATCCTTCCTCCAGACAAAAGCGGCACTGCGGGGTTTCGAGAGCTTCGTGCTGCGGCGTTCCGGGCAAAACCTGCGGCAAAAAGCCATTGTGTTTGGCACCATCGCTCTCAACACACACATGGGCAAATGAGTAGAACCGGTACACCATGCTGAAACAGGCCTTGTCCATGCTGCTGGCGAGCTGGACAGCATCAGTAGGTGCCACGGTGTCGTCCATCGCAAACACAACACGTCCAATGTTGCATAAAGGTACGATCCAAAATGGAAACAGCCACATATACATCAGGTATCGGATGTAGAATATGGTACATGTGCACATTGAAGGAAACAACACTGCTGCTACATGATGCATTTGTGACTACTTGTGGACATCGATGCAAAACGCTACGGTGAGCACAGCATTAAATCCGAGTCTTTGCAAGCTGTTTCCGCAGGGTTGAACATCGCCAAGCAAGTCACCACTGACTGAATCCTGGTATTCGTGGACCAACTGTAACCCAAAATTTTAAGAAGTACAACGGCACTCCACATTGACACGGTAAGCAAGTGATGTAAGAAAGCTTCCCGCACAGCTGGGCGGTTGGTACGCTTCAAAGCGCCTCGGGACTTGCTCTTAGGAGCATCAACAGCTCTGGAGCCTTAAAGAAACCCCCTTTGGCTTGGAACTTTAATTTCTGATTTTATGTGAAAAAGTCCGTCCTCTGCAAAAGAAAATGCATTTGGGCACTACGGAAGGGTTCATTCGGGTCACTTTGGTTGGCAGAAGCTTTTAAACTTAAGAATGCCTCTTCTGTGATTTTTGACAAAACTACAAAAAAAGTTCTCAAACGAAGCTCACGTGCATTCCAACTCTACGGCTTCAAAAACGAAAAAACATGCATCAAAACTTGCAAGAAACACTTTATAATTTCTGGAACTGCTCCAGAATCAAGAAGCTCTAAAACCTCCACAATCACACGAACATGCTTTTTCAAGTTGCTCCAGGCGATTCTCCACATCTGTCATCTTCTGGCTTACGTGATGAATGCAACGAAGCAATTTTCCACGCAGAAACTTCCAAGAACACGTAACACCGAAACTTCCAAGAACACGTAACACCCATCAAAGCTTGAATCAGCAAAACTGCTTTGTCTTTCGAAGCTTGCTTGCTCCTTGGTATCATGCCAACTCAGCAGGCGATCAGGTGCAGTACGGCCACGTGCCACTGCGGGGCACGGCAAGGGCCAACGGTCAGCCGCGCATGCGTACCTTAAAGGCTATTGTCCAAAGTGCAAGCTACTGCTACATGGAAGCGCCACGGAGTAGCAAACTGCTACATGGAAGCGCCACGGAGCAGCGCCGTTTGACCTGCAACGGCGACTGGAATCGCGCGAGGTGCACGAATCACTCTACACGAACTGCCCCTTTCAGCAGGGGGCCTTTTTGGGACCGATCTGCAAAAATAGTCTGTAGACAATTGGAGGAGACATGTTAGAGTGTTTTGAAATGGGTTTCAGGAGGTGATTTCTTAGAGCATCTTGCAGCTGGTTTTAGGACCCGATTCGTTAGAGCACATTGCGGCTGGCTTCAGGATGTGATCTGTGGAAGCAATCTTTCGAGCGGTCTGTGGCTAATTTTGGAGCCGATCTGTCAGAGCTATCGGGGCGATGTGTGGGTATGTTGAAGGACCGATTGTCAAGAGCATGCTGTAGTTGGTTTTAGGAGCCAGCTTGTCCGAAACTGTTTGCACTTAATTTTACATCTGTATCTGGTTTGAGGATCCGATCTGTTTAAAATTGCATGTACCTGATTTGAGGAACGGATCTGGCAGAAACTGAGTGTACCTGATTTGAGGAACCCATTTGTCAAACCATTTGGTAGTATTGTATAGCTGGTTGCAAAAGGCAGGCTGTCGGAGTGTGGATTTTTGTAAGAGCCCTGAGTTGTGCCTTTAAACCATTACCCTGATCCCGAAGCCATTATCCGAAGCATTTTTTTGGCGTATGCGGGCCTCAGTGACAGCGGCTGCTGCGCTCGGTCCCAGTAAGAAAGCTAAGGAATCAAGAATGACAATCTTCAAAAAAACTATACAAGGGTGAAAGCTTCAAAGAGCTAACTAGAAAAGGGCCGGCAAAAACCGCAAGTTCGAAAACTACGTCATCTACCCTGTTCGGCACCGGCAGTACTGCACAAGCCTCTCAGCGATCTAACCCTCCAAACTGTACAAGGAAGGCAACAAACTACTCAGCGACAAA